ATATCAATTGAAAGGGTTGGACTGAATTCGGTGAGGAGATATCAATTGAAAGGGTTGGACTGAATTCGGTAAGGAGATAACAATTGAAAGGGTTGGACTGAATTCGGTAAGGAGATATCAATTGAAAGGGTTGGACTGAATTCGGTGAGGAGATATCAATTGAAAGGGTTGGACTGAATTCGGTAAGGAGATATCAATTTGAAGGGTTGACTGAGCTAGGAAGGCACGTGAGGGACTGAATAGGCTGCAACGAACAGGTTAGTTGCCTATAACCTGAATAGGCAGGTTGACAGTGGGATTGTTGTTTGCCATGTTTCTCTGCTTTGTTGTTTAGAATCAGTATTTGCAGCTGGCCCGAAACCCTCATGCATGTGCTTCAAAATGCATGTGCTTCCAAATTCTTGAAGTTTCAAATGGATGTAAGATTTTAATGCCTGTAATTCCCAATTCATGTACTGCCTAATGCAGGCTGTTGCATGCAACAAAGCGCTGTCTAAAGGGACGGTGCTTCAGCTCGCTGAATCTCCTGTCATCCCCTGCACTGCCTTCTTCTACGTTCTCAGTGTGAGTCCTGGAGCCATTATAAATAATCATGGCTATGGATGATGGATTCTTGTTTGTTTTGTTCTCTTTTTTTTTTTTTTTTTTTTTTTTTTTTTTTTTTTTTTTGCTTTTGGTGCACGAAGTGCTATGCCTCCATCCTTTCATCCTCTTCCATCCCTTCTGTCCTCTTCCATCCATACTCCCTTTCACCATCCAGGGTGACACATGTGCGTCCATAGCCAGTTCAATCAAACTCACAAGAGACGATCTCACATACCTCAACCCCGGCCTTGACTGCACGCAAACCATCAAGCCCGACCGCTCTATCTGTGTGGAGCGCAACGGAACCTATGCCTGCAGCGTCCCCAAGTGTGTGAAATACGCCACGCTCGCAGCACAAAGCACGTGCGAGAAATTGCTGCAGGGGTTGGGATTGCCAAGCACTCCCTCCACCTGGGCTGAGCTCTACCGCAACAACCCCGGCCTCGTCTGCTCCAACACCGTCCCGTTCACTACCTCGGCTGTTGGCAACAAAATCGGCGTGCAGGTGAGAAGTGGAAGTGGGAAAGAAAAGGGTGGAGGAAGGTGAGGCGCAGCGGGAAGTGGCAAGTGGGAGAATGAGGAGATTTGGAGCTAATCAATCATCAGGTGCACTTAAAGTGTCTGTCTTTGCTTTGCTCCCAACCTTTCCTGTTCCCATCGTCCTATCGTTCTTCCTTCTCTTTTCTTTTCTACCCGTGCCCCACGTGGTGCCCCCAGGTATGTCTGCAAGCGGATTACTGGCCGTTTCTACTCGGTAAATGCAATAAGGGCCGGCCCAAGAACGTGCCCCCATCGCTGACCTGTTCCGGTGCTTACAGCTTCTATGGTGGCACTATGACCCAAGCAGCTTCAGATTTCAATACCTCCAATGGCAAGGCCTGTGCTGCGAAGGTCGGGGCCAAGTACATATGTGTGCCTCGTTAAATGAGTGGCTTCAGTTTCCTTTCAAACATTATGGTGTGAGGCTGTGAGCCCCGCCTTTCTATATTACTTCCACTATTATACAACTTCTATTGTATAACTTCGTATTTCTTTTTTGGGTTGCTTGGCTTGGCTCCCTTTTCTTTTCTATGTTTCTTGCATGCCTATAAATTCCATTGTGCAGTACAGCATATTGCTGGGCCTATAAGAAGTCCCCTTATGATAATAAACATATATTTGTCAGCTGTCAAGCTTTCAGACTGAAAACTCTTGATTTTTATATGCTTTGGTTGTTGCTTGAGTTTCACTCTCTCCCTCAGGATTGGGTAGTGCAAGTGCCAGATACCATCATACGGTAGTGGTGTGAGGGGCGCATGAAATTGAGGTCTTGATGTTGTGAAGATGCTGAGAAGGCTGGGCTGGATATTTTATTTTTTATGTTAAACATATATCAAGCTAGGACCGTCTCCTCTTCCTGCCCAACACATTTACACTCCAATCAATTTTAGAAGGTGTAGGGAAGTGTTTCGCTGTTTCTGTCACCGTTGTGTTCATTACAATGGACGTGACAGTGGCGGTGTCGGACACAACAAGGAGGGTATTCGGCTGCTTTGTGACGGCAAATCCAGCTTTGTGAGAAAAGCTAGTGGGCGAATTCGACTAGCGACGTTCGCTGCTAGTGGGCGAGATTGTCAGGTACCCAGGTGCCTGCCCGTGGCGTTTGACGAAGCCCGCAAGTCCAACCACTGAAAGCACAGGCAGGTTATGGGCGAGGTTTGGCGTGGGGCGGTCGGCTGTCGTCGCAATCGCCAGCTTGCTGCTGTAAGCACAGTACACGAGAACACTTGTACATCCCGGTTTCTCGGTTACCCGATGGTCAGATGATTCGTTCAATGATTCGAGATATTTGGAGATGGAGGTTTCGTCTCGTCTCGGCTGGAGATCGTCGCTCGCTTCTTGCGATCGGCAGATCTGGAGGCCTTTCGTCAGATCTGCACTGCAACCTCATTCGACAAATCAGGGGCTGTCAATTCCAGGATCAATTCCCTTGTTTCCCGCGAAATCAGGAAATCGTAGTAGTACAGACAGTACTCCCTAAGGATTGGATGTGGGCCCGCTTTTATTTTCTTCCTTCTCCTTTTCCCTTCTGTCAAGTCCCCCATCCACTCTGGCGTGATGAGAGCTGTTTCGAGGCAATTCAGAATACTTCATCGAAATCGACACCGCGTCTGCCTGTCACCATGTAAATCGACACCCGGTACCACGTAATTACGGGGTTTTGTTGCCATGATACAAGAGACCTATTCGTCAAATTTGTTTGAACGAGAGAAAGAGTGGCCTTGAGCTGATCCTCTAGTTTGGTCAGTGAATCAGGCAGGCTATGGGGGAGGGGGGAAATGTATCCCTCCCTGATTTTAATGGCTTGAAACGGCCAGGCCCCTAACTAATCGAGTCTAGTCTGTGTGGCTCTCCGAACCAATATCCCACCCACCTGCCTTCATTTCCCTCCCCTGCAGTTATTTCGCGGGCAATCATCCAGCCAAGTTCCTCAGATCAGATCAGCCCTCAAGCGTCGGCTGCCCCTCTCTCGTCTCAACCCCGCCCCGCCAAACTGCACGTCACATTCCATACACAGAAACAGCCTCTGCTGTTCGGAGTTACGACAAGCTGCTCCACTGCCCGTCGCCAGGCTTGCTGCGACTCGTGCTGGTGACGTGGGCCGTGACTTTCTCTCTCGAAAGTTTCTCCACCATCGAGGAATAGCAGTCTCGGTTTTTTATTGGCTGTATACCCCCGAGGCGATTTGGGTTCTGGGGAAACGTTCCATGGTGGTTGATCGGTGGGATACGTTTCAAAGCGGTGACCGACAAGAACCCCTATTATCGTATGAACACTCTCTCAACCGCACTGAACGATCAGCCACCGAACATGCGCGACACTCGCTAAAATTCGGATCTATCTATGTTATGGACTTCACTCGATGCCTCGGTTTGTCGGTGTCTTTGCGTTTGAAGGCGGTGGTGGCAGAGTACCTTTTCTTACCCTGGGAAAACCCTATTGAACCGCATTTTTCTATCAGTGAACCTACTCGTTGACATCACACACATCGAGAAAGCAAAACTCCACTCGCAATAAATCCATAGCTTTACACTCCAGCCAAGATGACTCGACCGGCTTTCTTCACCGAATTTCACGCAAATTGTAGGGTTTCGACTTTAAATCTGGCATATTACAGATCGTTTTAGTTATGCTTTTTCTTGAAGGTCTTTCGGATCTGTAGGTAGCACAAAGCGCAAATCTCGCAAGGAGGACCACCGTCGCGAACGGTCACCCCGGTGGACGTGTCGGCTTCCTTACGTTTCTTTTGCACAAAAAATAGCATCTCTTATTCTGCTTCGTTCGTGTTTCTTCTTGGATATTAAATTCGTCGCCGGTCTTGCGCTTCGTTCGACCCCGCGGCGAGTGCCGCGAGTCGCGTACAGTCGCATGCCGTCGCCATGCTCGCATGTAGTACTTGCTCTGCGACAGCATGCGAATCCGCGGCGAGCAATCGCCGAAAACACTCGCAGCTGTCGGACTCAGCGTCGCATCATCCATCGCAGCCGTCGCAACCGTCGCTGGCAGTGACATCGCATCTCCATCATACCTCCCATCACCCCTCGTGCAAAGCACATCCGCACTTGCCCAAAACGTCCTCGTTTATGTCACAACCGTTACAGTCACAATCACCACCATCACCACCACCATCATCGTCAGCATCATCGCTACATCGCGCCCCTTTAACTGTTAACCAACGCTTGATCCTCCTCCTCCTCCTCCTCACGGGGTTCCTCCTCGGCTCTCTCTCCGCTCACGTCCTCCTTTTAGACGGCATCGCTACGCTCTCAACGCTCTCGCGTCACCGCGGCGCCGCGGCGGCCCGGTTCCTCACGGGTACTTCCGCCGCCGCCGCGCGGCGACAGCTCGACCGGCGGCGCCGCTCGCTTCCGCGGCCGCCGCCACCGCCGCCAGCTCCGTCATCGTCGCCGTCATCGTCTTCGTCATCGTTATCTTCGCTACTAGTAGCGTCGTTACCGCCGCCTGCGAATGGCGGCCCCGGCTCCTCGTCGAGTGCCGCGGAGAATCAGGGCGGCGGCGGCGGTGTACCTTCGCGTGAAGGGTTACAAGGGAGTGCGACGACGACGACGATGACGGCCGCGCTGAGTAGACAGCGCGAAAGCGACGGCGTCACGTCGATGCGCGGCGATTCCACGTCAGCGCCGTCTGTATCCACGTCCGCATCGTCATCTTCCACGTCATCGTCATCGTCAATATCCTCGTCGGCGTCGCCTGCAGCAACAGCGCCGCCGGCGACGGTTCCCGCGGGGCCGCCGGAATTAGATCCGGAGGCGCGCCATCGCATGGTGAGATCGCACGAGCTGCAGCGAGCGCTGGCGACAATGACGAAAGGTCGCAGCGTGTGCGCGACGATCGCGAACGTCGCGTTCGAGGATATGCTGCTCAACTGGTGGGAGCACACGCGGCGGTGCGGGATACAGAACGTGCTGGTCGGGGCGCTGGACGACTATACCATGAACGTAGGTATCCCTCTAACGGGTACAGTTAGCTAACCACTTCAACAGCTACACCCAGCGTTAGTAGTGCAGTTCGCGTGTGTACGATATCCGTGCAGATTCATTGGGTCACGTCTGATTTGATTTTTTGTTCACGTTAGCCGCATCGAGATCTGGTGGAGGGAGATCCGGTGTTCAGATTCAGTGGTTTGCGCTTCAATCGTCACCTTCTGTCTTTTATCCCTCTGTAGCTCTCTCTTCACGCGCGGGTTTTTCTCTGACGTCCTCTGTATCTCTCTGGCGCTTGGTTAGGTTTCTCTCTGACGTCCGCTGGTTTTCGTCTCTCGCTCTGCCCCTCTCTCGTCTACGTCTCTATTTGACGTGTCTCGTTTACGTCTGCCTGTCACGCCTCCCGTTCTCTTCTCTCATCTGCCTGTCTACGTCTGGGTGGGAAGAGGAGGGAAGCCGTTGAGGGGATGTGCGGGAGGAGGGGAGTGGGGGTAAGGGGCGCAGAGTGGGGGGAAGGGGCGCGGAGTGGGGGGGAGGGGGCGCGGAGTGGGGGGAGGGGGCGAGGAGTGGGGGGAAGGGGCGCGGAGTGGAGGGATGGGGATGCACTTTAGGGTTTGTGAGGCTTATCCTACCTTTCAAATAATGCCATAACCCTGTCCCTGCCCCTCTTCCCCAGACCCTTCTCCCCTCCCCTCCTTTGCCTTCCCCATCCCCCCCCTGATTTCTCCACACCGCAGTTAACCCAACATCACCGCATCCCATCCATCCGTCTGCACGGGGTGCTCCCTCCAGGAAACTTCCGGAGCAACGCCACGGCTTTTCAGGGCATGGGCATGTTAAAGACGGCTTTTGTCTTGGCAGTATTAGAAGCTGGGTCGGACGTGCTACTAAGTGACACTGACGTGGTTTGGTTGAGAGATCCCCACGCGTACTTTTACGAGAATGCTGACGTGGCGCATGCTGACGTGTTCGTGACGTCCGATTCGCTCTCGCACAGCAATGACGTGGCGAGGTACGGTACGGTGCGGTGCGGTTCGGTGTGGTGTGGTGTGCATGGCATGCAGCTTCACATACACTAATGAGCGTCACTGATTTTTGCCGTACCATTCACGAGTAATGCCACCCTACTGGTCTTGCAATGCTACTCCCCACGCTCTATGCTCTGTGCACCCTTTGTGTGCGGCCTCCACCCTCTCTAATACTTTCCCCCCCTTCTCTCCTTCCCCGCCACCTCCACACCTCTCCCCCTCATTTCCCTCTGCCCTCTTGACTTCTCCCCTTAGCTCGCCCTCTTCCCCTCTTCCCCTCTTTCCCCAACTCCTCTCCCTCCCGCCCCCTCTCAACCAGCAGTGCAACCCCAGTGTGATGGTCGGCACAGACGCGCAGGGCTGGTTTTGAAACGCCACTCCCCACGCTCTGCCCCTCAAACGCTCCCCATTTCCCCCCTCCTCCACCCCCACCCCTCTCGCAGCCAGCAGCGCAGCCCCAGTGTGATGGTCGGCACGGACGCGCAGGGCTGGTTTCGCAACGCCACTCCTCGGGCAACCGAAATTTTTGGCAACGCGTACGAGCACGCACTCAACACCGGGATTCTTTTCTTCCGGGCATCCCCCGATTCTGTCGCGCTAGCGCTGACGTGGCACCACGCCATGCGGACTCGAGGGCGCAGCGAGGGGTGGGAGAAGATATGGGGAGACCAGCATGCGTTCAATATGCTGCTCCGATACAAGATGTTTCCCATACAGGTGTGGTAGGGTGGGGTGAGGTGAGGTGCGGTGTGGTGCGGTGTGGTGGGGTGCGGTGTGGTGCGGTGGGGTGAGGTGGGGTGGGGTGGGGTTGGGTGGGGTGGGGTGGGGTAGGGTGGGGTGGGGTGTGGTTTGGCATGGGCTGCAGCGAGGGGTGGGAGAAGATATGGGGGACCAGCATGCATTCAACCTGCTGCTCCGTTATAAGGTGTTTCCCATACAGGTGTAGTAGGGTGGGATGGGGTATGGTATGGCGTGGCGTGGCGTGGTGTGGTGTGGTGTGGTGTGGTGTGGTGTGTGGTGTTTTGGGACGTCTGTTGATCTGCTTCTCTGGGATTAAGATGCTCACAATGCAAGTTCTGCCCCGTGCACAGGTCCCCTCCTTCATCCCCTCGCCTCCCCCCTTCCCCTCCCTCCCCTCCTTCCCCTAAACCCCACACCCATCCCTCTCCATCCCTATTCGCCCTTCCTTCCCTTCCCTCTCCCTAGCTTGTCTCCTCCCCCACCACAAGCTCCCAACACCAACCGGGTCTGCTGTGCCTTCTTTGCTTCAAATCAACTCAAGGCACTTCCACCTTCTCCTCCGTCTCCTTCCACTATCTCCCATGCTCCTGCTTCGCCCACTCCTCCCCCTCCCCATATCCTCCCCTTCCCCTCCTCCCCCTCCCCATATCCTCCCCTTCCCCCTCCTCCCCCTCCCCATATCCTCCCCTTCCCCCTCCCCATATCCTCCCCTTCCCCCTCCTCCCCCTCCCCATATCCTCCCCTTCCCCCTCCTCCCCCTCCCCATATTCTCCCCTTCCCCCTCCTCCCCTTCCCCCTCCCCTCCCCTCCCCCCCCAGGTCGTCTCCTCCCCCACCACGGGTCGCCCCATCAGCAACCGGGTGTTCTGGGCCTTCTCCCGTCGCCTCAAGCTCGCGCTGCTGCCCCTCGTGCTCTTCTGCAACGGCCACGTCTTCTTCGAGCAGCAGATGCCCAGGCGAATCGGGGTCACCCCCTACGCAGTGCACAGCACGTTCCAGTTCCACTATGGCGCCGGGAAGATCGGGCGGTTCAGGGAAGCGGGGCTGTGGGCTCTCGACCCCCCCGAGTGAGTCAGATTTTCCCTTCTCCCTACTCTCTCGTTCCCTTACTGGTACGAATGAGGCTGCCTGGTAGGTTGCAGGCTTGGAGTGACCGTGACCGTGACCGCGACCCCCCCCCCACGCAGTGCACAGCACGTTCCAGTTCCACTACCGGGCAGGGAAGATTGGGCGTTTCAGGGAGGCTTCATGATGTCTGCGGGCTTTAGATCCCCCAGAGTGAGTCAGTCATCTTCTCTCCCTTCTTTCTCGGCCATAAACGGTGCTGGTACAAATGGGGTTGCTTTTGAGAGTTCCCAAACGTATATATGGGGATCAGTTTTGAGAATTCTCAAAAGTGATTTCAATATGGCTGGGAGCTAGGTTCGGAGTGACGCCCTACGCAGTGCACAGCACGTTTCAGTTTCCTTACAGGACGGGGCGGTTCAGCTGGTTTAGAGAGGCGGGCTTGTGGGCTCAAGTCGGGATCCCCCAAGTGAGTCCCTTTGTTCTCTCCACTCTCTCGTTCCTGTGCTAATACCAATGGGGTTTCTTGGGAGGTGTTGGATGGGAGGTAGACCTGTTGCCATTGCCCTACTCAGTGCAGGGCATGCCCCCATGCTCATGCCATGCCTCCCCTACTAGGTGTTGGCTGGTAGGTCTAGTTCCGATTCCGCTCATGCCTCCCATACCCAACGTGCCCCCTGCCCTGATCATGCATGCTCTCTCCCGCTTCCTCCTCAACTCCCAACGACCCGCTCTCCCTTCCCCTGCCATCTCTCCGCCCAGGTTCTACACCCGAGGAAACTTCCTCTCGTTCGACGTGAAGCTTCCTGCATGGATCGAGGCCATGCCCACAGGCATAGACAAGCACCAGGCAACCATCGAGTACGCTTATGTGAGTCGCACTCGCAAGCCCTTGTCCTTTCAAAATGATGACATTTGAGTCGACTCAAAACCCACAGGCATAGACAAGCACCAGGCAACAGGCAACCATCAGTATCGTTCTGTAGGCACCTGACGATTGGGGGAGGAGGGAGGGAGAAGGGAAATGAGGAGGGTTCCGAGGTGGGTTCCGAGGTGGGTTCCAAGGATGATTTCCCCCCCTAGGGCAAACATGCGAGATGGGAAATTTCGGATTTTGGGGAGGTAGTTTCCGAGGGAAAATGACGAACTTCTCGCGGAATTTCTCGCGCCCAATGGAGGGGTAAATCGTGACCATCGAATAGAGGAACAGGGTAATTATTTGGGGCTGGGCGTTTTCAACATAAAAAAACACCAACATACAGGAGTGGTGAGCAGGCCGCCAGGGTTTTCACTTCGGTGGTTGGTGTGTGTTTTTCTTTTTCGATTTGAGATTTGCAACCCTGTTTGGGTTTGTGGCTGTACAGGGAAGCTTGTTTCTTGGGTGGAATACTGGTGTTCCCACTCCCAGCTCCTTCCTCCCGTCACCTTCGCACTTCCCCGTGAAGGGTGGGTGCCCAATGGCAGGGCGGAGGCAAATAAATTTGCCCGAGGAAGGTGGTGAGGGGAAAAAAGAACCTTTCTGGGGGTGCATTTCCCTGGAGGGAAATGACTGTTCTGCAGGCATTTCCCTTCGATTAGGTTCGGAAGGGAAATGACTGCCACGTCAGCCTTTTCCGGGCTGACCGCCATTTCGAACCTAAAATTGCAGAGGAAGGCAGCTTCCTATTTTCCCCCCCCTTCCCTCCGTGATGCCTGCAGAACGATACCATCAAGTACGCTTATGTGAGTCGCTCTCACCTCTACTGCTCTCACCTCTACTGCTCTCACCTCTACTGCTCTCACCTCTACTGCTCTCACCTCTACTGCTCTCACCTCTACTGCTCTCACCTCTACTGCTCTCACCTCTACCGCTCTCACCTCTACCGCTCTCACCTCTACCGCTCTCACCTCTACCGCTCTCACCTCTACCGCTCTCACCTCTACCGCTCTCCCTTCTCTTTACTTCTTTCTCACCCCTCTCTCGTCCTTTCTCATCCCTCACCCCCACCCTCCCCCCCACCGCATTCCCTCTTCCACTTCGCTTCCTGCTCCCCTTCCCCTTTTCCCATTCCCCTTCCCCAGGCTGTAACCCGTAAAGCCCTCGCCATTGCTCGGCTACTTAACCGCTTCCTCATCCTGCCTCACGTCACTTGCTACTGCGACCGGTGAGTCATACTAAAGAGTCTGCCTCATGTCCTGTCTCATGTCCTGCCTCATGTCCCTCTCCTTCTTCCTCATCCTGCCTCACTACCACCTCTGTACCTTCCTGCCTCATGTCACTTTCTACTGCGACTGGTCAGTCAATCCAAACAACCCTAAAAGCCCATGTCGTTTGCCTTTTCGTAATTGTTTCCTCATCCTGCCTCACGTCTCTCTTGCCTCTCTCCTTCTTCCTTTCTTCCATCTGCTCTACTCCTGTCCCCCACTTCTCGTCCCTTATTCCTCCCTCCCCTCTCTCTTGGTTCACCTCACCTCTTTCCCATGTGCCATATAAAATCAAGAATCTCTTCTCTGTTGTTTTCACCTGAAATTTACTCCTATGCAAAACCCTCTCTGTTGTTTTCTCCTGCAGGTGGTGGGACAGCCTGTGGGAGCCGTGCAGGGCACCTGGCGGAGACATAGACCCTCCATTCACCTGCCCAATCGACCTCTTCATAAATCCCATGGCTTGGGGGTCGGATCCAACTACCATGGTCTATCGCCCAGCCTCCTTCCTCTCTTTACCGCAAGTCCCCAACGAGATTCGCCTGTCAAAAGCTGTCGTGGGAGTTCGGTACGGGTCCGTTTCGGGTGAGGAGGCTTCCTCGCGCGTTCCTGCAGCTGGTGAGGAGCTTTTTGCGAAGCTTCCTTCGGACCGGTTACTCCGTTCAGAGGGAGAAGGGGTGCAGAAACATGGAGAATCGGTACCAGGGTATTCACTAGAAGGCGGGAACAGGAGGGTAGATTTTAGGAACAGGGGAAGTGTGCAGGATGACAGGAGAGAATTGGGGAAGGAGGAGGGCAGGAGAATAGGAGGAGAGCAGGAGGAGAGGGGAAGCAGGAGCGAGGGCAGGGAGAAAGAGCGGGTGTTTTTACCTGCCAATGCAACGGATGGAGAGGTGCAGAGGAGTTTGGGAGGGTTGGACTCGGTGAGAGTGCTTCATCTGGCCGATGCTGCTCACTCCTTCTGCCGGTGAGAGAGAAATAAATGGGGGGGGAAGAGGGGGATAGGGGTTGGGGTAGAAGGGAAAAAAGGGGGTGGGAGGGGTTTATGGGGAGTATGTGGGGATTGAGAGGCGAAGAAGGACAAGGAAGAACGAGGGCTTGTTTGTGAGAGTGGGGGAGAGAGTGAGGGAGAGGAAGGGGGAGACGGGAGGAGGGGGGCAGGAGGAGGGGCAGGGAAGGAGGGATGTTGGGAGTTGAGAAGGAGGGAGGGATGAAGGGAGGGAGCGACAGCAGATTCATTGATTCAGTGGTTCGTTCGTTCGTTCGTTCGTTCGTTCGTTCGTTCGTTCGTTCGTTCGTTCGTTCGTTCGTTCGTTCGTTCGTTCGTTCGTTCGTTCGTTCGTTCGTTCATTCATTCATTTATTCATTAATTCATTCATTCTCTCGGCTGCATGCAATACTGAGCTTGTGTTTGATCCTCCAGGCTGGCACGTTGCCTTGGTTACCTGCATGCACGTTGGTCAACTCAGCACAGATACAGTGGATGCATTTCGGTAGGGTACCGGTAGGGTCAACTCATCTTACCCTACCGGTACCTTACTCAGCTTGTCTTTGCTTCTTCCTCCTGGTTACCTGGTTACCTGCAGGCACGTTGGCGCAGACACAGTGGATGCTTTCGACAAGCTTACTCAAGCCTTTTTCACTCTCGACTGGTGCTGCAGCCCCCGGCACGAGACACGCAAATTCAAAATTGAGTCGCTCGCAAATGTTATGTTTGCATCCTGTAACCGTTTCGATGTACGATGAATACAGCAATCAATATGTCTGCTATGCAGTGCAGTGCAATCAATATGTTCTCCACTAATGCCTGTGCAGTGCACTAATGAGGTATGCATGCATGAAAATAGTACCCATGTTTGCCGTGGTGTTGTGCGGTGCAGCAGGGTGTGATGCGATGCAGTGCGAGGTGATACGGTTGGGATGGATCCTGCAAGGGAAATAATGAAATGTGTTGTTGACTCTCTCGGGTCAATTTTATTTTCCAGTGCGCACTTGCACTAGTAGGGAGTCTTATTCCTGCACCACAGCGTGTTCAGGTTTCAGTTGGTTGGTAAACCATCAGCAGTTAAGCAAGAGTTATAGTAAGGTACGGTACTACACAAACCAGAAGAACTATTCAAGGTCAGCGTATCTGGATTCATTTACCGTATGTCAAGGTAGGTACGGTATAAAGAATGGTGTGAATTCTTCCCACCACACCACTGTTTCACAACTCAGGTGCGTGTGCTACCATACCCTACAGCACTTGTTACACCTACCATTCCTACAACATAAGCTATGCAAAAGAGGCAACCACACGAACCAGTGCCCACTGCCTTGCGCCCACACTCCAAAAGAAACGCATGCAGATTTTTATCCCATCTCTCTAATCATGCTTACTCCCCTGTGGCACCAAATACTGTAGCAGAATGTCACAGACAGGAAACCTAGCGAACCTTCGTTCTTCCCCAGACAGGAAACCCTTTTCAGAAACACCCCTAGCTTCCACTCTCCTTCCTCTTAGGCACAAGCAGTCTCTGAAGCGACCACACAAGCGACTCCGTAATTGCGTGCCCCACCTCCCCCGTGACTTCGTTATCATACTCGCATGTATAGTGCGGGTTGAAATACGCACACGAGTCTAAGTACCTCGGTGCTGCTACATGCCACAGGTCCACAAACGTGATCCCTTCTCTCTCTGCGAGCTCCTTAGCCAGCTGATTCGCAAAGACTATTCCCTGGTTTGTTCTGCCGTTGCACAAGGCCGTAGAGAATCCCGTCGGGAAGGGAGGAGCCGACACAAAGAGCACCGAGCGAATCGGGCGGCCTCGGGCGGCTATACTTGTGTTCAAACCTCCCACACTGCTGCTGCCTCCGCTGCTGCTGCCTCCGCTGCTGCTGCTGCTGCTGTTCCCCCCACTACCGCTGTTCCCGCCGCTGCTGCTGTTGCTCCAGCTCTCATTCCTCACGGATTTCAGCCAGTCTAGGAACACAGGGAGGCCCCGAGCATATGCGACCTCAGGCTCAGTGCAGAAGGTAAAGCTCCAGTGCGCGCTGTTTGCCAGTAGCACGTCTGGCGTGGGCCTGATTACCGGGAATGCCGTGTCTCTCCCTGAGTACTTGCCCCGGTTGCTGCAAGGGCGAGCGGGAGAAGGACGGGGAGAGAAAGGGGAGGAGCAGGGAAGACCGGGCAGAGAAGGGAGAGAGGAAAGGGTGAGTCAGGGGAGGAGAACGGGGAGATGAGGGGGAAGGAGGCTACGTTTGCATGCAACCTCAGGCTCGGTGCAGAAGGTAAAGCTCCAGTGCGCACTGTTTGCCAGTAGCACAGGATACTTCCCCCGGTTGTGGGAGAGACAAGGCCGGGGAGGGAAGGCCAGGGAGGGAAGGCCAGGGAGGGAAGGCCAGGGAGGGAAGGCCAGGGAGAGAAAGGGGAACGGGTGGTGGGGATTGCCTAGCGACGAGTCACCATGTACAGGCACCCTGAGAAACAAGTTGCAACAACGCCCGGAGGAAGGAAAGGGAAGGAGAGGGAAGGGGGGAGGGAAGGGGAGGGGAGGGGAGGGAAGGGAAGGGGAGGGAAGGGAAGAGAAGGGGAGGGAACGGAAGGGAAGCGAA